TATGTGAGCAAGGCGATTGTCAGCATTGTTGGTGACAATAGCCCAATACATCCAAACATCAGCTTTAAAGATACGTTTATGATCATATCATGTACAACTTGTATTGATATTTTAGTATTTACTATACTATCTAATAACACCAAATACAAGAGTATGTCATCTCGTTTTAATTTTTACGACTTCATGAAATTGGGTGGCTGATGTGGAGCAGGATTTTGGCCTAGCCAGATTTCAAGGTGGAAGAGACCTCCTGCTGCAACAGCGCAGAAACAGATACCAAGTGATTGACAAAATGTCTTGTTAAATGTTGCAGCTTTAGGACAAAAACACATGTAGATTTAATCCCAAAGTTTACTTCAGTTTTGACATGAACCTTAGTGTAAGAATACATCCAAACACATAGCCTTTCAGCTTCATTTGATAGTGTGCACAACACAGGCACTCGACACATGACACTAGACAGTTTCATCTTCGTACAGTGTCTGCGCAATTTCTCTCCTGAAGTTACGAGTACTTTTTACTCATTTAAATTAGAGTTGCGTGTATCTCTTAATCTCCTCACACGAGTGCTGGTCAATGCGGGCATCTTTTGTTATTGCCACCTCCAGAAGTTTGATGTTGTTGTTGTGTCCCATCTGTTTGTTTTTAAATGCAAAATGATGGTCCAGGTCAGCATCGCCACCTTGTGGACAAACAAATTAGTGCAAAAAAATCAAGGTGCATGTGTGAACGGAGCGTACAGTACATATACTATTCAGTAGTGTTGGGTCTGAGTCCACCTTGTCGAGTCCTGAGTGTCCTAAGTTGAGTTTGAATGGGAGACGTTTATTGATGTCTTTATAACTTAATTTGATGTTGTTACTTATTTTTCCAACCCAGGCTCATTCGAAATACGTGCCTCTAAATGCATTTCTGCAGCACTGTTATAACCAGGGGTGCACATACGTTTTTCAACCTGGTTCTCATAAGAGAACCTGGAGATTTGGTTTGGTCCTTACACTGCACATAGTGTGACCCATTAAATATAACTATAAAAAATAAATTAATAATAGTGATAATATTATTGCACTTTATTTAGTTATTTTTTTAAATAAAATAATAAACAAAATAAAGTGTGATAATATTATTATATTTTAAAATAAAAAGGGAGTATTAAATGCAAATACAATTATTTTATAGTAAACTTAAAAATACAATGATAATATTTACTTTTTTTAATTTAATATGAATTTATCATTTTCAACCTTAAAATCAGCAGGCTTTTATTTTGGCGGGTGGTCGGCAAGTAAGTATATGCGCTTCTGGGTTTAGCGCTACCGATTGAAGAGCTTCAGTGAATGAAATGTCTCAGTTTTGCATTGTGCTTTGAAAACGGCAGCGGGTAGATTAGATTTTCAATTTGAAATGAAGCTTTCAATTTGGATAGAAATCTTATACAGTACAGTTTGTCGATCTAAAATGGTAATTGTGCATTAACAGCTGTCATCCATGTCGGTACGCAAATGCGCTGTCAGAACTTATTTATACAGCGCATTTTTTATTTTGGTCACGCATGCGGACCTGTGGACCACTTATGTGCACCCCTGATTAAAACGTACCTTACTGCACGTTTCACGGCAGTTTTAATGTGAAACATCCAGTCAGTGGCGCTAAAACGCGGGTTCAATATGTGACCCTGGCACGTTTTTGTTATGTTGATATAGGCACGTATTGCTGTGTTTGTATTACGTTGTTGCAGGTACGTATTGCGGTGGTTCATAATTCAAATATTCGAGGAGTGTCGCTAAAAGTTAATGCGCTGTCGTGTTGGCAAAACCCCCTACACCAAACCCAACCCTAAACCTACCTGATAGTGTTAGCAAATGTAAAAGTGATAAAAAAAATGCATTTGTTGATGCAGCCGTGCTATTTTACCTTCCTTTTGAGTTGTTTTGTCGAACCATAGTTTCACGGGGTTCGTACCGAAACTCTTCATCATCTAAGTGCAACGCCATATCGCGTGAGCTACCGAGCAAACCTACTGAGTTAGAAAACTCATGCATTTGAAGCTGTATATGTGACGCTAAACTTAAAATGCATCAGTTTTCAAATCTCGCAGCATGTTTAAAATAGTTTTGAATTCATAACATAATATTCCTCACGTAATTATGTGAAAATTAGGCTTTATTAATCAAAACTGTGGACCTGCAAATCATACTTTGTGTGAAAAAAAATAAGAGTTGTGGGAGTTTTACTGCCTCTAGTGTTCTTTTCAACTGGAAACTGCAGCGATTCGTATGCATAAGTACGATTTTTGAGTTTTGCAGAAATGTAGGTAGAGGCACGTATTTCCAATGAGCCTAAGTTGTATTTTTCTGTATTTTATATTACACGACATGGATTCTTCTGTAATCTGAAAAATTTGCACCAGAGTTTGTCCGAGTCCAAGTTCATTCACAATTCCAGTCCCGAGTCAAAGTACCCCAACTCTACTATTCTGCCTTTACATTGACAAGATTTTTCCTTAATGCACACTGCCTTTTAGTACTAAAATCACAATATAAGACCTTGCCATGGTACCTGCTTATTCACCTTCTTCCTCTCATTTTAGAATAAGCATTTCATTTTCTCGCTGCATTTGTTCTAAAACTAACATCTCTCACCATTCCAGCAGCAGTCCTGAGTCCCCACCCTGATACTGACACGCAGTACTGCACCACAGCACGCTCTCCTGTTCAGCACACTTAATGTCTCTGAATTTATCATTCTTTTAGTGGTGCTTGCTAAGGCAAGTGTGACCATTATGCATATTAAGAGTAAGGGATTTGTTCTTAACTGCTAACCCTAGGTATTAAAATTTTGCAAACTTCTCCGACAGCGTTTGTGCTACATACGATCAATTATGCCTCAAATCATGGAGCTTTTTAGACATAAGGTGAATGATAACAGATGTAAAAAGCCTTTAGATGTATCCTGACATAGAGAATTAGCGACGATAATTCAAACAGCAAACAATCACACAGAACCTTAGTATCCATCTAGCAGCACCCTTGTAACCACCCATGCTGCATTTTCCACAAACTGCCATAGTTTGATGTATTGTTGAAGAAATCCACTAGCTAGTCATGACTGTTTACCGAAACTGTAGTAATTTTGTCAAATATCCGTCATTCAAACTGCTTGAACTGTTGTTAATGATGTCATGCATGCAAGTGGTGGAGTAAAAGCTTGCAAATTAATTGATTTATTATCAGGTTATAGACATCTAAATGTGTTTAATTAGAATTTTTAGAAACTGACAGATTATTTTTGTCGGGAATTTTGTTACTGCTCTACAGACTATAGAGGGCGGAGTCTGTGACACATTGAGTGAGAGAGACAGATAAACACAGAGAGAGTGACAAACAGAAAGAGAGAGACAGAAAGACGAGGAATGAGGACAAATTAGCTTTTCAGTGCTGTCACTTCTGTTCAAGCCTTTCTGAAGTCATTTTTCAATGAATGGAGCCTGTAAATAACAGCAGAGAAAACAAGCAATGATCTTTCTCACGCACCAGTAGGAACTGACACAAAGGTCTCTGTGAAAATCCCTGGTGCGCCTTCCACTGAATACAGTCAAAGAGCAACTCCTGCATTGCAGTAAACAGACAGTGGAGAAGATACGGACAGGAGTGATCACACCCACCCACAAACACACATATAAGCAGTGTCATATGAAATATATGGCGCTCTATCAGTTCTATCAAAGACACTTTTGTAGTAATGTGCTCTCTTTCACAGTATTATAAACTGCCTTGCTTCTTAGATAGGCAGCTGCCTTCTAAGGGACTGTCATGGAATGTCACAACGACTGATTTAGTACACTAATATTATGGTGGCAGTCACTCCATGTGCCACACAAATAGAGTTATTTAGTTTCTAGAGTTTTAATTAGCAAACGACAACAATCAGTTCCCGATGGACAAAATCAAATCCCACCCTATTTTCAGTTTTGCCCCGGATTTACAGTACATCACAATAGGTTAGAAAAGACAATTGTAGTTTTTGTTTAATGCAAACTTTTAGGTCTCCCAATGGTTTTCATCCTAAATAAAAGCTCTATAGTTTAGAAATAAGCCATAAATATTACCACTGTAATTTTAGAGTTCTTCTATAAAGTAATAGTGAAAGATTCTTTATTTCATTTGATTGATAATTGTAATATTATTTTAATATGTATAAATATTATATTACTAATAATATATTTAAATATTGTTATTTTAAATATTAATGTACCAATAATAGTTAATTATTCTTTTTATTATATTTCAATATTATCATTATTATTAAATACTCATATTAAATAGGAAAAACAGACTTTTCTTTCTTTTTTGTCCTTCGCTGATCAAATGCACCCAAGTACTGGGTAAAAAAAATCGAATTATGTTTACATTGACCTAAGTTTATGAACACTTTTCGGTATTAAATGAAATATATTTATAATGATTCAGCTGTCAGCCATCTTATCTGATTTATATTCTCACTGAGCTTGTTGCTATACATTCTGTGTTTGCCTTCTTTACGAAGGGATGTACAGTATGTCAATTAGGTAAAAATAAAGTTTAATTGGGCAACATAATCAAGTTAGCTTCCTTATTGAACAACATCGGGTGCGCTACTATGAACCTGCCTCAGTATGCAGCTCACTAGGTTTTGAAATACAGCTAATGTGCTGCTAACGTCTGTCAGTGTTTTACCATGCATTATCATTAAATCATACCGCTTATCATCATAAATGAACGAGATTTAGAAACGTTTGTAAACATGGCCGCTTGCTCATTAATATCATTTATTGTCTGTGCATGTGTGCCTATGTGTTTGTGCGTAAATCTGCATTTACTGCGGTGATCAGTATCAGCGACTGTGTGAGACTATTACTCATGGTAAAGGAGGCAGGGTGATAAATTTAGGGGAGCTGTCAGTAACTTCAATTGTTCTGAAATCGCTTCATTAATCCAAGCGGTTTTCATTCATCTCTCCAGTCGCAGTGCATCTGCCTGAGGACGGGCCTCCGCGTCTGCCACTGCACCAAACCGCTTCAGCGAGCAGAGCGCAAATGATGACACAACTGTGCCAGAAGCTGTTTACTAAAGAAAACATGAATAATGACAGGAACCGTCGAGGAATCGTCCAGAGTGCATGGGAAACGAGCAAGTGGGACAAACTCAGCAGGAAAAGGTAGGGACAGAGGGATGATAATTGGTGGAGGAGTGAAAGAAAAGCAGAAGTCAGTCACCTGACCTTTCTCTGACTTTGTAATGAGCAGGTTGTCCCTGAGGATTGGCCTCGTCACCCTATCGACTACGCCAGGATCCGCATCTCCCACAATCCTCTGGCTCTCCTCTGGTGGTGTCTTTCTTTAGCCCCGTGTTTGGATGTTGGCAGGCAAGTTTCCTTTCATTGGCATTGCGACGCTGCAGCAGCGTGCCAGCTGTTTACGCCTCTTTGTCTTTCAGTTACGCTGTGTTCCTTCTTCGCTTCCTCCTCTAGACACTGATGATGAACTGCTACAACTACTTGAACTACACTGGCACCCTCCCCCTTCCCACAGTCTCTCCTCTTTCTCTCTTTGACATGAATTCCTGTGTGTTTTAAATCATTTCACTGCATTCTCACTTGGATTCATCTCTAAGTTTTTGGCAGCAGACACTTGCCGAAATCATAGTTAATGCTCTTATCATCAGCCGATTATCTGACTATTAATTGCATTAGTCGTCATTCTAAGATCTTGAATGGGCCCTGAGGTTAATTATATTTTGGATGCGTTTGAATCTAGTGCCCAGGACTTAATATGAAAAAAGCCTCTGAAGATTTAGAGAGAGTCAGAAAACAAAAATCAATAGCGATTCTCAGCTGTGAAAATGCCAAAAGATGGCAGGATTTGCAATTAATTTTGAAAATTTTGATCTGCTCAAAAATTCTCAGAAGTGTGAAACTTAAAAATTTGTTTTAGATTTTGTCACATTGCACGCAACTCTGGTTTGTTGTTTAAATCAAATCAGTAGGAATGGATCTGTCGAAAAGTGATGACATTTTTTTTTAAATCACAGTGCTCCAAAACATACCTGTACAAAAAAATTCAATGCAGTTTAAAGCTGAAATGACCACCAATTGGTAATTTCTTGCACAATACTATGTTATAACCTCAAAGCATGTTTACCATAGTGCATGATTTGTAATTTTTATCATTTGCATAACAACCATCTTCATATGTTTGGTTTTTCTGACATGGTAAACTTGCTCAGTTGCTCACTTGGTACAGCACTGCACTGCACAGTGTTCAGTTACACTCCTATGCTCATTCAACATTCAATACATAGTGAATGACACTACCACACTTGTGTGTGATATTATATACCCATTGCATCCCCAAAACTGAAAAAAAATCTCCATTTGACTGGTTAGATTGAAACCCACTTCCAAACCTGAAATTTAAATTGAATTTCAAACCGCATATGGAAATGGTTTGGATTGGGTTTGTAAAAATTTTTTTTTTTTTATACAATAAATTAAATAGATCTGAATATGGAGAAGAAAAACAATTTTCTGTCTGTCTTATCATATCCTTAGAGAAGTCTGAATGTGATCTGAGTTTAGTAATATTTGAAATTTAGCTAAATTTAAAGGGGTCATATGATGATCATAAAGAAGATCTGTAAAGTTGCAAAGACTAAAGTCTCAAATCCAAAGAGATATTCTTTATAAAAGTTCAGAGTCAGCCACACCCTCTTAAAACGGCTCGGTCTAACACGCCCCCAACATATCTACGTCGCTATGTGGGAAGATTTGCATAACGCCGCCCAAATGTTCACGCAAAGAAAGAAGGCGTAACTTTTATTCTCACTGTAGTATTGTTGTTGCCGCCGCCATGTCGTAAAGATGCTGTGTGCTTCGTTGTGAAAGCGAAACTACTTTGTTTGGTCTTCCAAAAGAGGACGATATCTGCTTCGTCATGACTGGAGCTGATTCGTGCTGGTTGCTGAGGAAATACTACAACTTTGCGCTGTGGATCGTCGGATCGGCTTTCACCGTGGACGAAGCGGAGTCCAGCCCGGAGTCGTCACATGTCCTTCC